TAGTAGAGATGGGGTTTCACCATGTTGACCAGGATGGTCTCGATCTCTTGACCTCGTGATCCACCCGCCTCAGCCTCCCAAAGTGCTGGGATTACAGGCTTGAGCCACCGCGCCCGGCTTTCATACTTTTAAACAATTTCAAGGTATGATTTATGTACAATAAATGCACCCACTTTAAATGTACAGTTCAATGAGTTTGGACAAATGGATAACTCATGTAACCACCATCACAATCCAAGATAATGAACGCTTCCATCACCTGTGACTCTCAGCAATCCTCATTCTCCACCCTTGGCCTCAGGCAGCTGACCTGCTTTTTATCACTATATATTAGTTTTGCCTTTTCTAGAGTTTCCTATCAATGGAATCATTTATTATGTACTTTTCTTTGTCAGTCTTGTTTTGCTCAGCACAGTGTTGCTCAGATTATCCATTTTTGTGTATATCACTTGGCTCCTTTTGATTACCATGTGGTATTCCGTTGTATGGATTTTTCATAATCAGTTTATCCATTCATCTGTTGATAGACATCTGGGTTTTGGACTATTATGAATAATGCTATTATGCTTACAGGTCCTTTTTTCAGTCATATATTTTTATATTTCTTAGATAAATATCTAGGAGTGGGCCAGGCATGATGGCTTATGCCTGTAATCTTAGCACTTTGGGAGGCCAAGGCAGGCAGATCACTTGAGTTCAGGAGTTTGAGACCAGCCTGGCCAACATGGTAAAACCCTTTCTGCACTAAAAATAAAAAAAATTAGCCAGACATGGTGGCACATGCCTCTAGTCCCAGCTACTCGGGAGAGGCATGAGAATCACTTGAACCCAAGAGGCAGAGGCTGCAGTGAGCAGAGATCCACCATTGCACTGCAACCTGGGCAACAGAGCGAGACTCTGTCTCAAAAAAAAAAAAAAAGAAATCTAGGAATGGAATTGCTGAGTCCTGTGGTAGATATATGTTTAATTTTATCAGAAGCTGTCAAAACACATCATGTTCTTAGGAACTTGATTTTGGGGGAAGGGGCAGGAGTTGCTGGTTTGCCTCCGGACCCCTCTGTTCCCATTGGATTCTGTAGAGTAGATACTGTAGATAGTCTGAAAACAGGTTGGTGTGCCAGTGGCTGTTAGATGTAGAAGTTCTGGATGTTAAGTTAGGGTCAGAACCCATTCTGAATGAGATAGTACTGGGTTATTGCTTGTATGAAGGGATCAGGCAGGACAGATACACGGAATTAAACAGTGTTGTGCTCTTTAGAAGAGAATGCATTTCAAGGCTGTGGGAAAGGCTGTGTTTGCACCAACTGAAAAAATAGCTAATCCCTGAAGGATGTGAGGTATTTGCCGGGAAAATTGTTTCCCATGAGGAAAGTGGAGGGCTTCTAACCCAACTCTTTTCTGAACTTCCCGGTCCTCAGGGGGAGAGAAGCTTGGCGCAGCTCAGTCTGGCAACTACTAAGGATTGTTGTGTGGTGGATACAGAACAGAGAGACGGTGGCACAGGGCCCCTTGCTGCTTCTGACTAGGACAGAAAATGGAAATGAGATGGCAAATATAGCCCCAAGAATGAAATATGTAAGAAAGTTGCTTTGTAATGGAAATAGTAGCAAACGTAAATTGTTTTTCATCTATACTGTGAAAACTAGCCAATAAGTTGCTGGTCTGTTTCTACTTTTTAAAAAGTAAATCTAGCTGTGATAAGAATTAAACTTCTGGTCATAGTTTTGCAATAATTTAATTCAGCTAAAGATTATTTTTTTCCTGCTTAAAGGCAGGCATGTACTCTGGTATCCTCTAAATATGCTAAAAGCAGTCGGGTTTTATAGACAAGTTTGGGAAATGCTGTGTCACAGGCTCTATATGCTGGCTGTCCTGCGAGAGCACCTTAAGTGTTCTAATGCAGTGATTCTTGCATCGTATTAACTTTGTTGGCTGGTATATTAGTTGCCTATTGCTACATAACAAACTATTATACATTTAGCAGCTAAAATCTCACACATGTATTATCCCACAGTCTCTCTGGGGTCAGGAATCTTGGCACAGTTTGGTTGGGTCCTCTGCTTCAGAGTCTTTCACAAGACTGCAACTGAGGTATTGGTCAGAGCTAGGTTCTTACCCGAACATCCACCTGGGGAGGGATTCACCTCTGAGGTCATGCTGATGTTGTCAGAATTCAGTTCCTTAAAGTTTGGACTGGGCGCCTCAGTTGGCTATTGGCTGGAGACTACCTGCTATTTCTAGTTTCGAGGCCCTTTCCAACATTGCAGCTTGCTTCATCAAAGCTTGCAAGCAGAAGACAAGAAGAGTCAGCTAACACAGTGGAAGCTACAACCTTATGTAACCAAATCATGGATGTGACATCCCATCACCTTTGCTGCATTTATTTGTTCATTAGAAGCAAGTCATAGGTCTGACCATACTAAAGGGATTACCCCAAGTGTGAATACCAGGAAGCCACCTTAGACTCTACCTGCGACAGCTGGGTTGCAGCCAGACCTGCCTACCTCTGAAACCCAATGCACTGCAAATAGTTGCCTGGAGATCCTGGTGAACAACCCAGCTTCTTACAGAAGTAAGAATTAGTGGATAAGTTTGACACAAATTGAAAAGAATAATTCAGAGTCTTTTGCCCTTCTAGACTTACTGTTCTTACAGGAAGTGAGAACAAATGGACTGCCAGCTGGAATCGAATTTCTTGTATATCAAGACCAGCATCCTACGCAGACCCTAGGCCCTCAGTAAAACTATTTGCATGAATAGATTTTGGGCTCCATTAGCTTGATTGCCCTCCTTTTATAATAAATGTTTATAATATCCTTAATTCTAAAATGAAATCCATAAATAAAATGTCCTTGCCCACATAATTTTAAAATATCAATATGATGTAACTGTAATATAAAAAGCAAAAGAATATAATTATAATAAAAACAATGTGTTTCAATATATACATGCTCTAAAATAAAGTGGTTGAATGCTTGCTCCTAACCTTAGAATCACTGCTAATGAGATAGTTATAAATGCAGACTGTTATTTGACACTGGGTGTGGAATTAGGGACTCGGATTCTACAATTTGCTCTGGTGGTGTGACTTTCCAGGAAGACAAATAATATTTGGAAACATTCTGAACAAAACAAAAATCACCCCATAATTTACAAGTAGTTACATTTCTGAAAAATTCAGTGTATGTTCAAATTGTGAAAAACAAAACCTTTTTTTATAATTAGTTTAGTCTTAGGTAGTTATAGATAGGTTTTAATCCACAAATATGTCACACAGGACATTGGAAAGCCAAGAGGGCCTTGAGATGATTCATGACAGAAGTCTCTACTGCATTTAACAGGACAAATGTATACCTGGTATTTCCCCACACACACTCCCCTCAATTCAGGAATGCCTCAATTTTGCAATAACAAAAACGCCCTTGGATCTTACCAATGGGCAGCACCTCGACATTGCAAACCACTGCAATGGTGCCTAAGCTCTAGGTGAGAGGAAAGCAATGCAGTTATAGACTTGGATGGACACAGTTAAGCCCAGCTATCAAGGAGTACCATGAGAGAGATGAAGATGATAATCAGTGTCCTCAAAGTATCTACTGTGGCCCAGCAGCACAGACACAGCCAGGGTGCTTAAATCAAGCAGGAGA